GGAAAGCCAGCGACGCTCGTAAGCCCGTATGTGCCATGCCTATCTTCAAGTGGCTGGTGGAGATGAGAGTGCTCAGCTCAGCAGCTGCGTGTCTTTTTCTGCCAACTGGAAATGGGTCCTATGGCTTTCGTGCAGGGAGGCTTTACCTTGACTATGTCCCTTTAAACTGAAGCATTTGCAATTCCGTAAAAGCAAAGTAAAAGTACAGTGAAAGGCAGGAGTTCCTTTCAATATGGAAACGTTTCCCCAAGTGACTCAAATTAAATTTCATAAGAAGAAATCCATAGTTCCATGAAATTTATAGATACGTTATAAAAAAGAAGTATATTGCAGGTTACTTGATTTACTGTTGATTCTTTGGGCAGCACTCAGCAGAGTAAAGGAGGAATGTGATTTGGAAATACACTGGAGGGGATTCAGCAGAATGCTGGCAGCATCGAGTTTCATCCAATTTGAGGGGATTTTCACTCTCCTTGGATACGGCAACTAGCTGGGTTTATTATCAAATTACATTTTGCTGGATCGCCTGTAAATCTGAGTACTAGGGAAAATAAATGCAAATCTAGTGACTTTTGCCTCGTTTGTGCTCCCATCAAGCTTTCAGTTATTCTGACATAATTTGTTTCTTTTTCACTGGGTTTGTATTTATGGATTGTTTATGAAGACTGAAGCTTCAATACTGTAGGATGATATATGCAAAAACAGTATATAGAGGAGTAATCAGAAGGGAGACATTATTTCGATTTCAAATAAAACCTTTTGTCTATAACCAGGTACTGGATCAGTGCACGGATATAAGTGAGGCTAGCCTTAAGCATTAGGACTAAAGTAAGACTATGGGAATTTTGAGTACATCCAGGTACTTGGTCAATACATCGTGTTTTAAAACAGTACACCCATACCTAGGAACTAAAATAGGCTCATATATCCTGTGTGCTAGGCACAGAATTGGACAGGTAACACGCATGCACTAGTAGATTAGATGGTATATAGAAACCATACTGTCCTATATGGTACAAACTGCCATTAAAGATAAGTGGGAGCTTGGGTAACTGTTCCTGCCTACTGTGGTGGATGGATTCAGGAGGAGAAATGTATTTCTCATTCATGGAAGGAACCACAAGGCAACCTGTGTGTTAGGTATGAGGATTATGGACAAAAGGTCCCTATGACCTGGTACTGTCCCATGTTGTGTCTACACAAATGGTTCAGACATTTGTATATTTGTTCTGCCAAAAATCCACTGGATGGACTAGTGCTTCATGTGAGCTGAACATCACATTAATGTGTACACACACACGCACACACACACACACACACACACATATATACAGCACCTGACCTGGAGCAGACTTGCATTGGCCAGTTGGGTAGAGCGAGCAAGTGGCCTTCTTCGCTTGTCTGCACAGACACGTCCTCTCCCCAGTGTCCTTTCACTTTTACAAATGTCGGCATTTTCTTGAAGGCCTCGCAAGCCAAACTAATGAAAGGCAAGCTGAATGCATACCGACCACAGGGACCACCCTGTAACCAATCCTGTAAACAAGTTACCCCCTGCTTCATCAGCTCCTCCGCTCTGCAGGTGTCATAATGATGCTGTTTCACATAGGCATGTAGAGCATCTCTTCTCCATACCCTCAGCTGAATCCATGGGCAGCAGGTGAATAGATGCGAAGGACATCGTCAGTCAGGAAAGTGTGGTTACAATCTCACTGTTTCTCGGACCTTTCAATTATTGCTTCCCCTTTCCCTTCCATCCCTCAGATGGGAAAATCTTAGTGCTCTGGAGTCACCTGCAGCCACTGGAGTGCCATGCTCCCATTTTGCCTCTGCAGAGCTCACCAGTGAACCCAAGATTTACTTGGGATCCTGTGCAGAGCGGAAATACTCATCTGTCTGTATTCCATCTTCATTTAAAAATTGTCCTGCAATATCACCTGCAAACAGAGAATGAGAGACAAACTACACTTTGGAGTTCCAAAGCAAATGATCAGCTGTGGCTGATGGGCTGTAAGTGCTTGGAGGTAAAGTACCAGGAAGGCTGTAAAATATGGAGAGACCATGAAACCAGCAGACAGCCTTTGCCGGAGAGAAAGGTTGGCTCCCATAGAACTGGAGGAGTCTTAACCTAGTAATCACATACAGCCGTGCTGGCTGAATGCAGTGGGCAGAAAAAGTAAGCCGTGGAGCTCACTGCAGAGATATTGATAAGCAGACGCTTGAAAATAATAGGTGCTTGTTCACGTTTATCAAGTTATCAAGTCCTTATCTGACTCAGTGGTGTTGAGCTTTTTTTCCTAATCCCTGAAATCACAGAGGAAAAAAGAACTTTCTCTATTAGCTTACAATAAATAAGGAAAGAGGAGGACCTGGAAGAATCTTGCTAAATTTATTCTACACAGCCTTCCACTTATGAGATGAAGCAATATTTTTATTTCAATAGTGATTTAAGTAAATTCTCTTACCTGAAATAAAATGATGAAAGAAGTAAAATTTGTCTGTCTTTAGGTTTGCAATTGTATTTGAGAACTGTCTTCAAATCACCGCTTCTGTCAGACTCATCTGTGGTGGAACCTGGGAACAACTGGGGAGGCACCGTTCTGAGCCAGAGTTAGTTTAATTTTAGATGGGTGTTCATAGTTCAAATCTCAGGCCAAACCATGCCGTAATGGAATATTTCTGTGGGAAATTTGTGGCATTTCTAGCTATTTTTTAATAATTCAACTTCTATCCTTTCCTATGGAAAATATAGACTTATCCCTTCTGCTTTACAGAACATTGAAAATAAATTCCGGGGTATTCTGCTTGTTTCTTCTCCTAATTTATGCAGCAGGGCAAAGATAATGTTCATGATGGATGACACCAAAATCCTGGGTGATTAAAGAGTTTCCTCCAAACGAAATTAGAAAATGCTTCTCAACTAAATCTCCTAGCGTAGGTTCAGATTCAAAAGTGGCGTATTCAGGTCTAAAATTTACTGTAGGCTCAGGTTTTAGGGTCCATTTGAAATCTAATTTTTATAACCCAGCTCAGACAGAATGAGTGTCATAGCTGTTCTCAGCCATGTTTCATAAAACTCGTGTCAAAAGCAGGTGACCAGGCAGTCGGCTTCTCACAAGCAATCTTGCTGAGAAGCAGTCTCTACTGTGGGGCATGATTGCCCAGCAAAGTAAGAGAGAGAAACCTCAGCCCAGGCAGAAGGAGAATCCTCCATTCCTGGTATCTGCTTTAGCAGTGGTTTCTAAACGCTGTTGCACTTAATGAAGCCTGGAGTGCTATTTTTAGACTATGGCACTAGGAATTCTGCTAAGTTTGTTTAATATAGAACAGTCATTTCCTTTAAAAGTCAGTGCATGGTTTTACAATCTGACTGCCCATCCATAATTAAACTAACAATTTTTGGGGCGTTCTGACTTTAATCTTTTCTGGTTGCCATAGTAATAGTAATACAAACACCTCTGAAGGATGAGCTACTTCCCTTGCAAGAAGAAGGTCTTACTGTATGCACAAGGGCTGCAGAAATGTTTAATGTAATTTTGACCACATGGTAAGCTAGTTTGGTGGGTCATAAAGTAGAAAACGCTGTCTGGGGCCAAGGTCATGTCAGCCCCATCGAGGGAACGTTCTACTTTATTCCATGCCATTCTGAAGACCATATTTTGTTTTTCACTTAGGCCAAATCATGGGTATAACTTATGAATAGCTATTTTGTAATCAAAATAGCTATTTATAGGTTAAGTAAATGGAAAATTTACTGCCAAAACCAGTTTCTCCTCCGATTTAGATCTAAACCACATTGATTATATGCTTTCAGAAAAGTGTTCCGGCCCTTTCTCCTCGTGCCCATTGTGTTTTCCGCACAGAGGAGGGTGAACAAAACATGTCAGCCCCTCTGCAGAGGACTGATAGCTGTTACCACATGCTATAAACATCATTTCACATCTGCTGAAAACGGGGGAGACTGTGCAAATAACTTGGCAGGGGGTCAGTGCCCGAGCCCAGATCAGGCCCCAGGAGTCAGTTGGTACCAGCCCCGCCATCAGACCATTCAAATGCAATGCTCTGTGACAGCAAATGTGTAATGCAAAATTTTGGTCTCCAAGACAGCTCTAACATGATCACAAAAGACCTTGCCATATCACTGGCCGGGAATAGCATGCCAGGACTAGATACTGGATGGTATCTGGCAACCATCCCTCCCCTGGAGTCTTTGCAGGCTTAAAAAATCTCAAACTCTGCTTAGAGGGTTTTTTTCTGGAGCCTCGGAATTGCTTTTCCATGGAACAGAATCATTAGACTTTAAGTACCTAGAAAAAAATGTATTTACTGCAAATAAATATTCAGAGTGGAGCCAGGAGAAGAAGGCTTGCAACATAAAGAGAGGCAGCCTCCTTCACTGTAATCTGGAGTCAAACGCACGATGCTCCAACTTCTCATATTCAGAGCACAAAGAGTTAAAGCAATATGCTTGCAAATGCCCCTAGCTGCAGTCTCACCTCCTCCCACTGCAGGTCCCTGCTGTATGCTCTGGCACTCTGTGCCACACTGGTGACGGAAGACGCTGAAGGGTAACAGAAACTCCGACATTATTAGCATTTGGAAAATGTAAGAATAAACTTTGCTCCCTTAGGGAATCACTTGAGTGACACAATGGAAAAAAGCCTGGGGGCATGTCTTCCTGCACCCTCCACCTCCACTGCCAGTGCAAAGGCCTCTGGGCTTCCAATGGAGTTAGGGCTGCATTTCATATTGCACAAACAGGACATGGCTCAGTAACATACTCTCAAATAGGTATTTCTTAGGCATGAGTACTTTGTAAATCTGTCTGGTGCTGTTTAATAATAGGGAATTAAGTTCACTCTGTGCTCAGTTTGGAAATAAATATTTTTCATTTATCTTTGTAGTTCTGAGCTTTATATATCTCAGGTTTATAATAAATTCTATAAAATTGCAATAACTAAAAGAAAATATTTTATTACATACTATCTCCAGCATGGAAAAAAAACTCTGAAACAAAATTCTTGGATATATACACATACAAACATAGACCATGTATTACTAATATATTTATTACCTATATCACTTCAGTGTAAATACATAAGGTAAAAATGAACAGGAAAGGTAAAGTAGAGTGACTGCAAATACTACCCTGAGGTTTAAAGCATTTTGAAAGAAACTCTAAAGGTAGCTCCAAGAGGGTTTCAGTCTGGCATTCAAGTGCTTGTAAATCTCCTTATATATTTGTGAATATGGCAGTTAGAAGGTGATTTTTTTTAACTTACTTGGCAAAAGTTTTAATAGCAGCAGCTGTCCAAACACACTGCAGACCCCTCTACAGAAAAATGCAACATCTACTGAATTGTTGGATTGGTGTTTTATTTACAAGCAAATCTGGTTGTTTTTGCACTCCCTTTACGTACTGCACTTCACAGACAGCTGAGATTTTTGTTTTAAACAGCTTTCGGGGCTTCTAAGAGGGAGAACGGCAAGGCTAAGGTAGAAAAGAGAAAAATTAGTGTGTCAGTGCTCAGCACAGTAGACCTATTCTTTTTTAATCAACTCAGATGGAATTGAGACCTATTTGGGTATTACTGCCTCCTCATGAACTTTCCTGGACAGAGGGCATCTTTATTTAATGAGTCTGTACAGTGTCTGGGAAGGCCTTGTGGCCTGGATGGATATCTGAACGTCAAAAGATTTGTTACTTAAACTACACCCCTCTCATTGCTGCTAGGATATACTGAGGCAAGCCACATCACCACCAATTGAAAAGTTCAGGGGTATCCACACTGACAGGAAAAAGGTCTAGGCTGTTTTGAGAAATAATCACTGGGAATCAGCTAATTTTGACACACTGGAAATAATTCCCTCTGATATTCATATTTTACCTTTCACACAAATGCTGGCTTCGCAAGACTTTTGTTCAGACCTGTAATTCACAGCTCACTAAGAAGTAGGCACTTGATGGGAGGATTTCACATCTGCCCTGGAAAGTGATGAACATATCCAGGCTGACTAGCACCAGCTGTACTGCAAACAGGCACCACTCGAAAATCCCTACCACTGCTCTGCCTCTAATACTGTACAACCTCTTTGCTGTCCAGCCATACCATGCAACCTATTTGCTATCCAGCCCACGCCCTCGATGACTGCCTTACTCAAGGATCTTCCAGCATGGTGGCAGGGCTGCAGACAATCCCTATAGCCAGGCGGCTACCATGGCAGACGTATGGATCTACAGCATGGAAAGGGGCAGATTGGAGAAGAGATTGTCTGTCCTCTTTCACAGGTAAGGGCTCTCAGGTTTTCGTGGTGCGATCCTTCAGCAGCACTGCTCCAGTGATCCTCGCCGCATAACAGCAACCCTCGTGTCTCCAAGCTGGAAACGCTCGATCTCCCACAGACTCCCGTACAATGATGCAGGGAATCACCCAGGGTCTCTTTTTCAGAAGGCTGTTTAATGTAGAGCTACTTCTGTGCATGGAAAAGGAGTGCCCATGCTCAAACATCTTGTGGATCCCTGGAGCATGATGAGGTTTGAAACAGACTCTGGTTCTTGGACAAACATACAAAGAAAACAACAATGAGCCCATTCTCCCATTTTCTGAGGAGCAACTTTGAATCAGCAAGATCAGATCCAGCTATTTTGATGATAACTACTAAGAACTAACTAACTAACTGCATTACGAATAATTGAAAGAATGAACTTAAAGGGGGAGCAGAAAAGCTTCCAGAAAAAAATAGAAAGAGAACAAAGCAAAGCTTTCAAAAGATAAAAAGAAAATGAAACAAGTGAGACCGAAATATACAAACCTCAGCATTAGTCAGTCTGTTGCTGAGAGACTGAGAATACGTCTGGTCCAACTCCCACTAATCATGAGTAGTGCGTTGCACTGGCAGAACCAAAGCAGAGGAAGAAGTGGCTTTGGATTTAGCAGTAAATTTTCACATGGAATTAAAATGAAGGCATTGAATTGTCCCCCAAAACTTCATTTTGCCCCACTTACTTACACTCAGGTTCCCCACTGTAGTCCATAGTTTTCCTCATTTGAAAGCAAGAGCTTTCTGAAGACCCTCAGGTCAGTTGGGCGGCATTTGAGCACAGACTAGATGTGGACCATTACATACTTATCCATGGAGCTGAGACTCAGCACTTCTAAGGAAAGAAAAAGAACTGTGGATTAGACATCCATACATGCTCCCACGCAGCTAGCCCTGCCTTCCCTCTCAGCTGTGTCTCAGCTCAGACACCTTGGAGAACAGCATCTAGGTAACCATGGTGACAAATGCCTTAAAATGGTTATAATCACGATCATTTAAAACAAATAGCTGCGTAAGTCTGGCCTAATCCTAATGAAATCCTCCCAAGTTTGGCATCCTAAAAATAGAAAGACAAAAAAAAAGGCACAAACAAAAAAAAGCCATCCACCTACTCAAAATTAGTTATGCCTCAAACTCGACAGAATTTGTGCTTTGCTGCTAGATCTACATTCTGCTTCTCCAGGAGACGGGGCCTTTGTGTCACAAGTTCATTGCTACATTTTTAGACCTAAACGCTAAAAGGTGGGGCCCAGATCCAAGCCTCATTGTACTTTGGCAGCAAACAGGAAGCAAGTGATACCTGACAGAGGTCAAGCTCAATTTGAAATCTCTGGAAGTTCCTCCCCCCCACCCCCTTCATTATAGTTTTCTCATTGCCTTCCTTCACAGGAAGTTTTTAATAGCTCTTCATGTGGCTATTAAGGTAGTCATGGTGTGGAGGGGTTTAAAGGCTTTAAATGAGTTTCTGGAAGAGCACCAAGGTTGAGTTAAATAACCATCCTGCTATTTATACCTGGTTCTTTGGCTTTTGCAAGCCCAAATTCATCCTTTGTGGGTCGAGATGTCAATATCCACAGCTACGCTTTGCTTTTGAGAAAGTTGTTTATGTGCTTGTCAGCAGTTGCTATGAATATGACACAGCTGTACAGTGGGGAGATAAAAAGGAGAAATCATGCAAGGTCTGGATCTGGAGTTTGTGTGCAGGACCCACTCCTCTCTGCCACGTATGGGAAGTGCAGCCCATGCCCTGGGCTCGCTAAGGGGCTGTGTTTGTGAGGGGATATTGAGAAAGGAGCGTGTTTTCTCCACGCTAGCCTTTTCCCTGTGGAACAGTGACAATCCTGTGCTCCTGGGATCTTACTGTGCTTTCACCTCCCCATGTACAGAGGACGTCAATGTTGTTATTCACATTGGTTCACACTGGCTAACGTAGGATCCAAGACATGGCAGGACATTCCCAAGGTCACCCACGATCAGCGGCCAGGCACGTAAGGGCAATCCATATCCTAGTTTCCAAACTAAGCTCCAACCCCCACCAGCCTCGGGGGAAGCCTCAGCATTTTCATAGCAATTCAGGCCGTGACAGGCCTGAATTTTAAAGGCCGACTCAGAGTAATGGGAATAATACTGGAGGTCATAAGAGAGGAATGAGGAGGGTAGGAAAGCCTTAGCTGGCTTCCCGCAGCCACTAGGTGCTCCTAGCAAAAAGCTAATGGAGAAAGTGATACTCCTGCATCATGACAGGGAGCAGGACAAGACAGCACTGAAATACAAGGAGGAGCCTCACTTTCCACCTCCACTGTGGTTTGGATGCCACAGCTTACTTGTAGCCCTTGGGAAGTTAAAAAGAGCCTGCAAAAGGTCTGAGAGCATGAAAATAGTTTGTCATGTTTAACAGCTTGATTTTCCTTTTGCATTCTCAATTTTTTTGTCAGCATAAATTTACATAGCTCAGCTGAGAGAAGCAGCAAAGAGGGGGCTGGGGAAAGCAAGGCTATTTTTAAAAGTGTGCTTATAAATATATGAAGCAATATTTTAAGTGCATTTAATATAATGATCCTCTTTCTACATCCCAGCTCCATTTATATGCTCCTTATGTCCTGAGGATACAAGGGCACCACATCAACTTCCATGTGAGCCATTCTAATGAGGTGTTGATCTGTTTGGAGCGCTACCTGCTACCATAATAGAAATGATTAATAGTGATAGATCATTTTGCACACCCACACAGATAATAGCATCTCTCCTGAGATGGCTGACAATCTAATTGTGGCAGAATGCAGAAAGGCCTGAAACGCATTTCATTAGTTATTGACTTGAGAACACTGTCTCCTAGTCTCTTTTTTTGACCTAAAGAAAAAAAAAATCCAAAATAAAAAAGCACACCTGACAGGAAAAAGGAAAAGCATGTGCAGTACTTCTTGAAAATCACCATTGGCATAATTAAGGATAACAATGCAGCAGCAAATCACTGCAACGTATCGGCATTCTGTTGTTCCACCGCACACGACAACATATGTGCCCCAAGAGACGTTTTTAGAGGTGCAAAAGTTCACCTGCTGCCTGGTAATTCACTTTGAGACGGGACTGTGATCACTTAATGGACTCGTCTTGTGCTGGCTGCTATGGTAACTGCTGCATCATGCTCTCCATAGGCTTGTTTTCTGATGAGAGTGTAAACTGCAAGAGCAAATCTCAAATGGTTTTGTTACTGGAATGAAAATCCCAGGACAGATTTGCAACTGTACACATGCTTTTGGCCTACCGTGCACTCCTTTTATGGACATGTTTGTTCATTTGGCTTAATTTTAAACCCCGTCTTTCACCACTGTGTGCTCAAAAACACTTCTCAGAATTGAAATCTTTTGGGTTTGGGCTGGGTTGGAGGCACATGTGGAAAAATTAAAAAAGAAACACAGAGAAAATCCTAAAAGATGAGGCAAATGGGATGGAGATTGTATTAAAACATGCAGCCCATCCAGCCTGGTCATCAAGCTCAAAGGCTGCAGAAGCAAAGCCCCCTTCAAAAACAAGCAAACAAAGAAATGCTCTCAGAAGCTGGGAAAATGACCTATCAGTTCTTAACCAAGCATAACTCAAGCAAACAAACAATCTGCAAAAACAATGCAGATCTCTCATCCTCTCCTTGGTGCGTGAGCGCTACCACGAAAGACCACGTTCGCTAGCCCCTGGCTGGTCTGTCTGCAGAGAGAGGCAAGGCTGGGTGCCAGGTGTGGGAGGCAGGATGGGGAGTCACTGCAAGCGGGAAG